CCGGTCTTCAAGGGTTTCGGTTTAGGGTTCAGGGTTTCGGGCTTTGGGTGCTATCAGGGTTTTAGGGCAGTCTTTTGGGGTCTTCAAAGCGCTTTGAGGGCTTGTTGCTGGGCCATTGATACTTTAGGCCCCTTAACAATAAGCGCAAGGGGCAAGGAAGTTTTTCATGAAAGGTTTAGCTTCTTTACAGAAGCCCTAAACCCTAACCCTAAACCCTAGTCCTTGAAAGGGATTCAGGCAGTTCGGTACCACTATGCCGAATTCCTAATATGGCTTTTGAGTGTTTTTTCATCGGGAACCTGATGCCCCAGCTCTTTACTGAGAACCACTACCTCACAGGGTTTAGAGATACAGGTGGTGGGGCTTTGGGGGGAGGTTAGAGTTCGAAGCGTTCAGACGCCAGGTTCAGATTTCAGGGCTTGAGGTTTAGGGTTTAGGTTGTGCAGTGTTTGGGGTTTAGGGTCTAGGTTTGTGATGTTCCCCCTTTATACTAACAGTCCTGAATAGGGATTATAGTCGGGGGTACTATCATCCCTACTAAGTTGTGTTGCAAGATGGGCTTTCGCCAGGCTGCGCAGTGGTTGCCCTTCCATGTTTGCCTAGGGTTTAGGTTCAGGGGGGTTTAGGGTTTAGGGTGTAGTGTTCAGCGTTTTAGGGATAGATCTTCGAAGCATATTCCCTTGCGATCCTACACGTGACAGTCTTGTGAAGGGCTGGTGGCGTTGTTATCCTAACCCCTAAACCCGAAGCCCTAAACTCATGCGGAGTGGGGGCTCCAGGCAGGCGGCAAGACAAGCGGTTTTCGCTGCCCTAAAGCCCAAAACCCTGGACCATCCTAGACCCCCCAAACGCTAAACCTGACTTACTTAAGGGTTTAGGGTTTAGGGTTTAGGGTTTTACCCTTGTTGCGAAGAGGGCTTCAGTCGTCGCCAGCTGGCAAAGTCTAGCCACGGACAATAGGAGGCAGGCCCTCAACCATGGCCCTACCGTTAAACCCCGAACCCCAACTAGCCCCAAACCCGATAAACCCTGAACCCTCAACCTCCTTGTACACACATATTGTCTACGTGTATTTAAGAAAGAATATTTGCCTACTATGTATACCAAATATTCCCAATAACGGGATTGTGGACCCTAAGCCCTAAACCCTAAACCCTAAACCCTAAACCCTGGTAGTTCCCAAGGTTTTGCTGAACGCCAAGTTCGCTGACAGCCAGGGCCTCGAAACGGATCGCAAAAGGTGGCGAAGATCAGGGCTGAAGGGTTTAGGGTTTAGGGTTTTAGGGTTTAGGGTTAGGATTTAGGGTTTTAGGGTTTAGGGTTAGGATTTAGGGTTTTAGGGTTTAGGGTTTAGGGTTCAGGGTTGAGGCCTACTTGGAGGCAAATGGGTAGTTAAAAATGGGTTATGAGTAGGGTAACTATACTCATAGCTGGTTGTAGAAGTTCTCAGAGTACTTATAACCCTGCTGACAAACTGCCCATGAACCCTCAAGTAGGGTTTAGGAGTTGAGGTTTAAGGTTTAGGGGTTGAGGTTTAGGGGTTTTGATGTTTGGGGGTTGGGGTTTAGAGGTTTAGGTTTTAGGAGTTGGGGTTTCGGAGTTTAGGCGTTTAGGGTTTGGGGTCTTCAGGGATTGGGGTCCTTTGAGTTTAGAGCCTTGAGAACTTGAGGGTTTGGGGCGTTTAGGGTTTGAGGGTCTTTGGAGTTTTTTGGAGGGTTGGGGGTATTTCGAGTTTCGGGTTGAGCCTTTAGGGTTTAATCAGGGCTTCTGCTTGCAGTTGAAGGTCGAAACGTGGTGGAGATGATGGGCAAGGAGATGGACGCAGCGAGATCGGAGCAGTAGCTTCTGAAAGGATGTCCAGTGCCGCCAGGGCCACAGGGCTTCGGGGTGCTTGAGCCCCAGTAACCCCAGTATTCTAAGCCCCTGATTTCCAGGTGGTTGAATCCCTGAATACCTGACTCCTGGCTGGGACTAGATGAATACACTCAGAGGGCTGACTTTCTTGTTTGGTTTTGAGGTAGTTTGGTTTGGAGGGGCCCCGCCAAGCTGAATAGAAATTGAGAAAATGAGCTGTCATAGTATTATTATTATTATTATCATTATTATCCGTTTGGGCTTGACGGGGATTCTGAACCACCTCCCCACCCAGGCCCTGCCTAAGCCCCCCAAACAGTCCGCAAACCATTCGCACCCCTGCAGCAAAAAAACGAGTCTAGAGTTTCGGGCCAAGCCCGGCCCAAAGTGAAATTTGGCAATTGAAGCGCTCGTTTTCTTGAATGTGTGAAAATGAGCCCCTCGTTTTAAGCAAATAGTGGTCAGGTAGTTTTCTTAGTCACGGGTTGCTCAGGAAGCATAGGCTTTCGGCTCAAGGGCTTGGAGCCCGAAACCCCTACTCCCTAAGCCCTAAACCCCTTAAACCCCTAGCCCTTTAGACCCGAAACCACGCAAAGAAAAAGGCCCTGAAGCCCTAAGCCCGGAAGATAGCAAGTCCGAAGCCCGTTGTGGCTGTCGACGCCCGGGACCCACAGCGATCCCAAAGCGACAGGACCACCCCCCTCCCGCCAATTCACTGGTGGTTGATGATTCCCTAAACCCGAAACCCTAAACCCTAAACCCTTCTAGTTCCGGTTGATCATTGCTTCATTTGCGGGAGGGGCGCAGCTAGGTTGAGAGCGTAGGAGATAGACGAAGTCCGCGTCGGCGCCCTCTTTAAACGTCAGAGGGCGGACTGCAGCTTGCCAAGTGCAACGGCGGATTCAGCTTGAAGGTTCATGGCTGGATGGCTACTAATTGCTTCCTAGGTAGGCCCTTGGGACATTTTATATTTCCCTTATTGGGTTTAAGAGGATCATTTTCAGGAGTATTTTTCAGAGGGTTTTAAGGGCCATCCTAGCTTCAGAACCCCCAAAAAACAAACATATTCTTCCTTATTCAGGGTAATAAGGATTATTATCACTTGTTTATTCTTTGGGGGGTTTTTAAGCAAATAGTAGATGAGGGAGCCCCGAATCCTAACCTCTAAACCTTGAACCCTAAAGTGTGGCTGCTCTTCTGGGTGGGTGGCAAAAAAAAACTCAACCCGAAAGACTCTGACCCGTAGATTGGGGCACGGCTGCTGCTTTTCGTTGGGGCGAGGGTCGTCTTCCCGAGATGTCGGCGCTGGAGTGAAAAGACCAACCCACACACAATGGGAGGCAAGTGCCTTACCCTAAGGGTCCATGTGCCTAAGCAGGGAATGCTTGGGCCTTGAAGTACTTGCTATGTAGGGGCTTTGGAGACACAATCAGTGAGGTGCATGGACCTCACGCCCAAGAACCTGAGGGCTTTCTGACTACAAGGAATGTGCTCCCACCCAATACCTCCCCAACTACCAGAGGTCCATGGCCTAAACCCTAAACCCCAAGCCCTAAACCCCAAGTACTAAACCCCATACCCTAAACCCTAATCCCTACCAGTTAGGGATTAGGGTTTGGGGTTTAGGGTTTGGGGTTTGAGGTTTGGGGTGTGCCAGCTTCAGAAAGGGGTTTAGGGATTTAGGGTTTTGGGATTTAGGGGTTTAGGGGTTTAGGGATTTGGGGATTTAGGGGTTTAGGGATTTAGGGTTTAGGATTCAGGGTGATTAGATCCCAGATCCTCGAGTCTGGGTTTACAAAGGGTGTTTAGATCCTGTCTGAGGCTCAGTTGTTGAAACGACGGAGTGCTTGAAGTGAGTTTGCAAAGCGGCTGCCGAGGCGCATCTGGTGTTCGGTGTACGATGAGCTTCAACGTAGTGCGGATCTTATCAGGGCCGTCAGGACTTTCTGGAGGTCCATAGCCACCATAAGGGGGGCCGCGATGAAGGTTAAAACGATGTATGTATATACTCCTAGGTAGGGCAGCGGCCTTGAGACTCGCCCAATCAAAGAACAAAGCAGTCACGACCGTGACATACAGGCAATTGCATGTGCAGCCTGGCTTTGCTTTGGTCAGATGCCGGACACTGATACCGAATGGCCGACTGCCTCAGGCCGACTGGCGATCAAGAACCTGCTGAAAGGCACTGGAGGCAGGTTGACAATCTCTCCGCCGGTTTATTCGTGCTCTCGTGATCGTGGGTCATGCAGAGCACGAGATTTGTCTCGGCATAGAAGGACGCACCGTCGTTGCATGTGCAAGCAAGCAGCTTCTTCGTGCAATGCATGGCTTTGGACCTGCCCTAAACCCTCCCTAAGGGTCCATGCAGCTTATTCTTATACTTGGGCCCCAAAGTCTCTGTATAGCACATACTTTAAGGCCCATTTAGGTACATGGACCCTCAGGGCCTAAGTGGTGCGGGCTTTGCTTTTTAGAGGTTTTGGGGTGGGACGCAGCCCCTGCACGGAAGAAATTTGGGGCCTTATCCGGTCCCCTCCCACCCCCCCGTCCCCAAACCCTAAACCCTAAACCCTAAACCCTCAACCCTAAACCCTAAACCCTAAACAACCCGAAACCCGAAAGCCCCGGAGACAGAAGGTGCCTGGTGCTCCATCAGCGTGGACTCGGGTGCGGTCCTCACTTTGGGTCTTTCTGGGTTTTAGCAGCTTTCAGGGGCCATTCTATCGTTTCGGGTTTAGGGTTTAGGGTTTAGGGTTTAGGGAATCCAAGAAGGCAGTTCTGAAGGAAATAGGGTCCCTTGTTATGAGGTTGCCGTGCTATATAGGGGACCCAAACAAGGGACCCTTATTTCGAGAAGTACCCAAGTACCTGCTTTTGCTTACCCTAAACCCTATAAACCCTAAACCCCAAACCCTAAACCCTATAGAAGGCATGTGCCGACACCCGTCCCCACTCTGCGCGCAGCTGTCTGTGATGCACCAAGCTATGCGGCCATCAAGGGGCCACTACGACGCGCAACTTTCCATCAGCTCAAGACAAAAGGTAGCCTGCTGCAGTGTTACACCCCTAGACCCTGAACCCTACACCTCAACCCTAAGCTTTCAATCCTAGACCATTAGATACCTTCCGTCCCGAGCTGGATCGCCATGGCCACCAGCGCCGCCAAAGCCTGGATACCGCGCGCCGCTGCCGCCACTGAGGCTCTGCGTCGGGGGGGGGCGGGGGGGCTAAACCCTAAACCCTAAACCCCGGTTTAGGGTTCGGGTTTAGGGTTTAGGGATGCTGGGACCAGGAACGGGACTAGGCCCTGATTTCCTTTTTTTAGGGTTGGGGTTCCCTTATCATTTATAATCCCCTGAAAACCAAAAAGGGCACCCTTTTCATTCCTAGGTGACTCTTGGGTCTAGGGGAGGATGCTGTGGTTTAGGGCTAAATGTTACACCCTCTTTCGTGTGCCGAGCCCCCCCCCCCCCCGGAATTGTCGAAACCGATTTTTGGTCCCTCTTTATACGGTCCACGGGTTTTATATGACTTTCATCGGGATGAGTGTATATGAATCTACAAGGGACAGCGAGGCTCTGCAATTGATTCTAGTGTTTCGTTTACTTACGGCACCGGAAGATTTGACTCAATACCGGATGCCACCAGGCACCCCCCAAACAGTCACAGGGTCCTGAATAATTAGCCCGACAAGACTTGACTTTATTCAGGAGGCCCCTACTCAACAGGGTGCAACGCCAGGGTTTAGGATTGCTTCATGATCAGCAGTTTTGGATGTTCTGATAGGTTGGTGAGAGAGCGTTTGGGATCCTGCCGCCACTGAGTCTTGGAGGACACTTTACGGTGCCAACGCCTAAACCCTCCCTGAACCCCCTTAAACTTCACACCTATCCTGGGCCCCGCAGGTACCCTCAAAGAGGCGGGGTAATGTAGAGGGGGGTAGTAGGACATGAGAGCAGCTTTATCAGGTGCAGTGGCAGCACTTCCTGGGACTCTGCGGGTGTGGGGCCCCTGTTGAGGTGCTTTGGAGGTTCATGGTACTTATAACCCCAATTTTATGGTACTTAACAACCCAATTCTAACTGTACTTCTAACCCAATGATTGCCACATTGGGGCACTTGCGGGGCTGATACGTGGGCTATAAGTACAGTTCTGATTGGGTTGTAAGTACCATCAACCGGCAAGCGTGTGATCAGGGCTTACAGGGCGCAAGAGGCAACGTGTTGGGGGTTTCGGTGTACCTTATCGGGGGTTGGCTGATTCAACCCTAAACCCTAAACCCAAATTCTACCTCAAGAGCCCCAAGCTTTGTGTTTGCAGATCAGTTGTGTTGTTCCAAAAGCTCTTAGTCAGATTCCCTTCGAGGGAACACCCGGGACCTTCAACCCGAAAGCCTTCAGAAACTCTGAGCCCTGAAAACCTAAAATCCCATATAAGCCCTAAACCCGAAGCCCCTAAACCCGAAACCCGAAACCCCAAGCCTTGAAACCCAAAACCCCCCAGAGCCGCAACAGAAAGGACCTGGCGCGGCTCGTGGCAGCGCTATGCGGCCGACGCGGATTCCCAGGTCGCCGCGTTTGTTCCGCCTTGTCTTGTGAGTGTGAGGGCTTATTGGGGGTTTAGGGTTTAGGGTTTACGGATTAGGGTTTAGGGTTTCGGGTTTGGGGTTTAGGGTTAGGGTTCCTTGAACCCGAAGCCCCAAGTAGGGTTTCCGAAATCATGAGGTACCTTATTGGGGACCTTATTAATTATAAGGGAATCGTACTATTATTTGTGGGGTCTATATTATGGGTCCCTTATTTTTGTGAACCCCCATTTAGGGTTTAGGGCCCTTTTTTACGGAGGTTGGGGTAGTTGGTTCCGTTGGTTCTGGGTTTGGGTTGCTATCCCGAAGAGCATTCTCGACCCGCATTGATTGAATAAACCTGGTTGAACCCGTACTTCCTTAGTGGGGTTTCCGAAATAGACCGGAGTTCCGTTTTTAGCTTCTTTAGTATTTTGGTGCATATTTGCGTGACCCATATTATTTCGGGAAACCCCATACCTGAACCCCGTAAACTTTTGGATCTTTAGAGACTGGCGCTTGCTGCTGAGGCCGAAAGGCCTTAGATTTCTTGGTAGCCCAGTGGTGCCCTTTACTACTCTTCTTTTTTGGGTCTAGGTTCCCTTATAAAGTGACCAACCCAAGAAAGGTGTGACGGTGTGCCCTTATTAAAATACGGCTGCTGGGCTACCACGACTTCCCTGCATGTTGCACCCTAGAAATGAGGGCGTCCTTCATGGGGTGGCCAGGCCTTGAAACCAATCCGCCACTTTCAGGCTGGGCAGTTCGGCGCTTAGGGTTTAGGGTGCAAAGGGTTTAGGGTTTAGAGCTGATCAATGTCAAGCCGTGCAAGCCGCTTTTTCTGGCATCCCCTCCCAGTCCCGATACCAAAAAAGGGTTTCGGGTTTAGGGGTCCCAGCCGTTGCCTGTTGCACTGACATGAAGAAATGTCCGGAAACTCCGTCGCGTGTGCCTTCCGAATGGACGACATCCAGTTGTTCTCGCTGCGCACATGCAGTTTGCAAGTTTGAGGGGTGTGGGTGCTTGTGGTGGTGGGGGGCCACCCTAAACCCTAAACCTTAAACCCTAAACCCTAAACCGATCCTGTAGAAGCCTCACCCGAAAGGTCTACGCTTTGATTTCCAAGGCGGAAGCCATGAATCCCTGGGCCCCTAATCGAGGCTGACAAAACTTCCAGCGGCTAGGGGTGTGAGTCAGGTAGTGGTTCCATCTGGCGGGAGTGTACTCTAAACCCCAAAACCCAAAACCCTAAACCCCAAACCCTAAACCTTAAACCCTAAACCCTAAACCCCAAGCCCTAAACCCTAAGCCCTCAACCCCAAACCCCAAACCCCAAACCCCAAACCCTAAACCCTAAACCCCCGAAGCCCCGAAGAGTTCGTCAACGCCTTTGGTGAAAGCAGGTCATCCATGTCATCATGACGTCATTTTGCCCGAGTTTAGGGTTCAGGGCTTAGGGTTTAGGGTTTAGGGTTTGGGGTTTGGGGTTTAGGGTTTCCCCGGCCGACTGCCCCAAGCCCGGATGCAAAAGGGTTTAGGGTTTGGGGTTTAGGGTTTGGGGTTTGGGGTTTAGGGTTTAGGGCCATCCAAACCAACGCCTCAAGCAGGGTTTTGTATCAAGCATGGTGCCCAAAATAGGGCGCGGGGAGCAAGATCAACCCCGATATATCGGATAGCTGTGGCCTCATCGCCACCATGCTGGAATACATGGAATGATGTGCTGATACAGAGGCCCCTAAGCCTTGAAACCCTAACCCGGGGCGGCAGGCATTTTGCGTGCCCTGTGCCGCAGAGGATGGTCAAAGCGTGCTCTGGGCTGCAAGTAATATGGGGCATCGCTTAAAGTTTTCGTGCTTGGCTGCGCATGGGCCTGAGTCCATGTTTACAAGGTTGTGATATAATCGCGCCTGGGATCAGACAAGGTTGTGTTACAACAATTTAGGGATCAATAAGGGGAATCGTGTTGGTACTTCTTCAGGCTCCTGTGCGTTGTGTCCTGACAAGCTACGTCCACTGCAGACCTGCTACGTAAGAAAGCATTTGAAACCTAGTAGTACAGTTATAGTTAAATCCATAAATTCCCTGAACCTCCAAGCAAGCTTCCACCATCGAGGTGCACCATGTGAACCGCTATCCGCCCTCGGCCGCCCCTCCGGGCGGGAGGAGGATGGCAAGTGGGCTGACAGAGGTAGGGTTTAGGGTTGAGGGTTTAGGGTTGAGGGTTGAGGGTTTAGGGTTTAGGGTTTAGGGTTCAGGGTTCAGGGTGCAGGTGTCCGGCCTTCGGGTTAAAGTAGGGCTTGGGGCTTCGGGCTTAGGGCTTAGAGACACCTGGACCTATGGCTTAGGGCTTCGACACCAGGCGGTTTAGGGTTTAGGGTTTCGGGTTGCCGGCAGCCTCCAAAGTCCGTTGCTCAAAAGGGTTTCGGGTTGCCGAAGATGCAAGCCAAACACGGCAGACCGGGAAGGGGAAGCGGCGAAAGGGCTAGAGGATGCGCAGAGTGTCGTTGCTCATGTTAAAGTTTGGCAGTGAGTGGTACTTTTTTTTTTTTGTTTTCGCCCCTTTTTTGTTCCCTTATTGTGACATGGTTACTGGGCTGCCAAGAAAAAAGTGTTGGCTTTGCCAACTCTTTGTTATACTGAAGGTCCTTGAATGGAAGTCTGCCCAGCATGCACAGAGACGCTTTACATGACCAACAGTTCGCTGCACAGCTATCAATTGGGATGTGGCCCCTTTTACAAGTGTAGGGGTACTATAATCCCTATGAAGGACTGTTAGTAATAAGGGGGAACATCCCAAGCTATCGACTGCGTTCAAGGCCAGTTGTGAACGTGCCCAGTAGCCGTTGCCCTGCTGCACGTTTCATGCTGGTATATATATATATATGTATATATAATATCCCCAAATAGTGGGATTCCCTTAAAGGCACCCCCTAATGTCGGAAACCCCCTTATCCTGGCACATGCTGTGAAGTCAATATGCCCTGGGAGGCCGATTGCAAGCCCTACAAGCCCCCTGAACTCGACGCCGAACCCTGCAAACCCTGTGACCGGTCAGAAGCCCTAAACTTCACACAACAAGCCCTAGCTTGCAAGCGCCCTAGACCCCAAACTCCGCCAACCCTTATAAACTGAAGAGCACCCAAATCCGCCAGGTAGACTTCGGGCGCTTTGACCCGAAGTCCTTCCTAGCCCCCTTCGGTCCACAGTCCCAGGACCGAGGTTTTCGTTGTTTTTTTGTTTTTTGTGTTTCGGGTGGCGGGGGGGGGGGCGGGAGGCTTTGGGCACTTTCTGGTTTCTTGAGGGTTTATGAGGGGGTTTTGGGTGTTGTTGTTTTTATTTTCATTTTTTTGGAGGGGGGGGGTTTTCCAACGGTACACCTCGGACCTCTTCTTTCAAAATCAGCCTGTTGTCCTAAGCCCTAGGGCCACAAACCCAAAACCCTTCAAACGTGAGAACCCTCCATACACTCCCCAGGTTTAGGCTTTAGGGTTCACGTTTCTGATACGCCCCATATAAACCCCAGGCAAACCCTGCTTTACAAGCCCTCGAAGTTGCCCCTATTTACAGCCTACCGTCGGATCAGAGATCTTCTTGCAGGATGAGCTCAGTCTCCCAAACTTGTGCCAAAAAGCATCGGTAGATTCCTCGGCTGACCAGCCATGACACCTCTGTTTCCTCTGTTGCTCCTCGGTCTCCCCGTGGCATCTTCGAGTTTGTTGACTGGAGAGAACCTGTGGGATGGCGCCGCAGACATCCACAAGATGATTTTGGCATCTCCGTTCATCTCGCAGGCATGCAGTGGTGAACTGGATGCGGAGCACTTCGGGCAGTACATGGTGCAAGACATCGGATGCTTCATGCCAAAGGCGATCGAAGTGCTTCATGGCCTCCACCAACGATCTGCAAGAGAGCAAGGGGTTCATGGCAATTTGACCGTTTACTTTGCTCAGATGCGTGCTGCATACGCGACCTACCTGTCCCATGAAGGGCGTGGTTGGGACCTTGGAAGCGTGAACTGCAGCATTTCACGCCAAGCGTATGTCAATTTTCTGAGCGATGTGGCAGAAAACAAACCCTTGGAACAGTCGGTGATTTCCTTTTCTCCCTGCACCGTCTTGTGGGAATGGCTTGGCTGGAAGATGAGCAGTTGCACCTTGACCAAGAACGCATACAGAGCTTGGATAACCGGATTGCAGAGTGGCAAAGCTTCCACACCGGTGCACCAGATCGACATCACAACATACCCTGTTCAGCAGTCCGTTGAGACCTTCCGAGCTGCAATGATGCATGAGTTCCATGTCTTAAACTCTGCCATGCCAACTGCTGCCACGCTCGTGGCCGCCTCTGCCCCGGACCCCAGCAACAACGGCCTTGGATTGTGGAGTGCCCTGGTGCCTGCCTCATTGATGGCCATGGCGTTTGCGGCGTGCATGCGCAGCGTGGCGTGCCGAGGGAAGGTCGAAGTGGAGCGATTGCAACGGCTGCTCTTGGAGCCAACGGTTTGAACACTATTTGCTTAAGAACCCCCCAAAAACTGAGAACAAAAATCCCCTTATAGGGAAGCATACATACATATATATATATATTATATACATATATGTATTATTATTCTTATTCTTCTTCTTATTATTATTTTGGAGGGGGGGTGTCTAAAGCAAATAGCAGAACATGGGTAGCAACAATCCCAAGCGCGAGGCTTGGCATCAGCCTCGTTATGAGCACTCGATCCGTTCGCCCGGGAAGGAACCGCAGCCAAGCAGAAAAGACGTAACCCCCGTGCTGTCTCTACGAGAGTGACCTCATACCCTAAACCCTAAACCCCAAACCCCAAACCCCAAACCCTAAACCCTAAACCCTAAACCCTAAACCCTAAACCCTAAACCCTAAACCCTAAACCCTAAACCGTGCTGTCTCAACGAGTGACCTCATCCCCCCCCCCCCCCCCCCCCCCCAAAAGCTTCACCTCTCGAAGGACCCCAAAAGCAAGAAAGGCTCGCGGTTCAGCCCTGAAAAAATCAATGCCTCCAGAATTGCAACCATTATGTGTTTCATATATATATATATATATGTATATATACACATATAGATAGATAGATAGATAGATAGAGAGAGATATATATATATAGATATATTCATATGGCTACATTCCATTGCCAGCAGCCTCACATCCCAGTCCGCGAAGGCCGTCTACGGGCCTGGTTGGGCTGCCATCGGCCCGCGTGCCTTGCAAGGCCCCGGTGGTGAGAGCGGCTCCAGGGGTTTAGGGCGTTTTGAGGCGCTTTTAAGGGGGTTTCGGGTTTAGGGTTTAGGGTTTAGGGTTTAGGGTTCAGGGCTTTCAGGGCTTTCAGGGCTTTCAGGGCTTTCAGGGCTTTCAGGGCTTTCAGGAGCGCTGCGAGGCTTGTGGGGCTAACCCTCGGAAAGCCCGAGCACCTTGACCCAGGAGCCCTGCCCAGGTTCGCAGAGTCCTGCAGAAACAGATAATTGGCAGAAGGGTTTAGGGTTTAGGGCTTAGGGCTTAGGGCTTAGGGTTTACAGTAGGGTTAGATCGAGAGAGAGAGAGAGAGAGAGGGAGCTTCTAGGGCTTAGGCTAACTTTAAGGCTTGAGGTTCTACGGGTTCTTAAACGCTGAACGCGAGAAAAAAGCCCTAAACCCTGAACTTCCCTCTGGTTGACGCTTGAGAAGACGTGACATGCAGGCTCGGAGCGAGTAGCCGTGGAGCTCGTTTCTATGGCAACTTGGCATTGCACGTGTCCTTGTTTCAGGGAGGCCTTATCCCTGGACCCAACTTCAGAAGACTGACATCATGAGAGCACCTGGGGCACCGGCGGCTGTCTGTGCAAGACCTCTGACAATGAGATGATTTTGGAGTTAACTTGCCACCTAAAAACTGAGGACTCATGATTGTAAAAGGGTCTTTAACTTTATCTAGGGTTTAGGGTTTAAGGCCACAGGGTCCAGATTTGTTTTTGGGAGGGTCGGCGGTAGCCAAGTGGTCCTCACTCTATGAAACCTGAGGCTTGAACCTATCTGAGGCGCAGGGGTCAGACCAGCGCCGGCGACTGGTGGGCATCTGGCGCCAGGCTTGTAGAAGCCCATGCCCGGGTCGTGTTCCAGGGCTTCGGGGTCTTCTTGGAGAGGATGGGCTTGGGATGTAGGGTTGAGAGGGGGAGAGAGAGGGTAGCCCTGAACCCTGAACCCTCAACCCTAAACCCTAAACCCTAAACCCTAAACCCTAAACCCTAAACCCTAAACCCTAAACCCTAAACCCTAGCCCTAAACCCTAAACACCCGAAGAGAAGCACTGGAGGCGGAGGCGGTGGCCACCTTAGAGGCCGCCACGCTCATCACTGAGGAGTTGCAGAGGACGCCCCCTGCTGATGGGGATGTCAGATGCATGGGCCACTTCGGGTTTAGGGTTTTTAGGGTTTAGGGTTTAGGGTTTTTCGGGTTTCGGGTTTAGGGTTTAGGGTTTAGGGTTTAGGGTTTAGGGTTTCGGGTTTCGGGTTTAGGGTTTAGGGTTTAGGGTTTAGGGTTTAGGGTGGCATGTTTGCCGGCAGCCTCCAAAGTCCGTTGCTCAAAAGGGTGTAGGGTTTAGGGGTACTCATGCAGGTGAATGATGAGTCGTGGGTATTTGGTTGGGGTTGAGGGCTGCTTGGCCCTAAGACTTTACTTGCTTGAGCTGGCTTGCTTCTCTCCTCCTTGTGAACAACCCTAAACCCCAGGGTGTAGGGTTTAGTGTTTAGGGTGGGCGCTACCTCATCCCGACCCACACAAACGGTTGGAAACCCTCATGCTATAAAACCCTACTTGAAGGTGTTTAGGTTTTCGGGTTTAGAGTTCCATGGGTAGTTAACAGTAGGGTTATGTACCGAGGATAAGCTAAAAAGCAGCTATAATTCTAGTTGCCCTACTTGTAACCCCACTGTCGCCTACCCTCCAAGGAAGCCCCTGAAGCCCTAAGCAACTTTGGTCGGGAGCTGGTAACTCCTCTGCCCTGAGTTGGCCCATGAGTATGATGACGGCTTAGTTTATGAAACTAGGGCTCTCGAGGGTTCAGGGTTGGCATGCGTATGATGACTTCTTGGGGTTTATGATGATTCGCGCTGCAAACTAGGGCTTTCGCCCATGAGTATGATGTCGGCTTACCTAGGGGGTTAGAATGATTAGGGCTGCACACGTAATTACAGGGTTTGAGATAAGGGTTGGAGAGCCTAGATGCATGTTTAACAATAGGTTAAGCCTCGCCAACCATGGGAATCCGGTATGGAGTCAACGCAGGACTGGCTCTGAGGGTGAGTGCCCGCTGATCGGCGACACCGCTCAGGAGAAGGACTCTCCTGTTGTGGGGCCCCAACCGAAAGAAACAGGACTGTCACGATCAGAGAGCAAGAGCCTAAACAAGATGGATTCAGCGAGAGCAACGAAAAAAATGATCAAGACACGAAACTAGGACCCAGAGTAGGCCCTTATTCCTTTTGTTTAGGGCTTAGGTTCCCTTGAAAGCCTCTTTATGCCAAAGAAGGTTACCCTTGTTATTCCTAGGCTACTCTTGGACCCTAATTCTAAACCCTAAGCCCTGAACCCTGAGCTCTAAACCCTAAACCCTAGCCCTAAACCCTAAACCCTAGCCCTAAACCCTAAACACCTCTGCTGCCGACAGCCGCAACCTCAAGAGGAGGCGGAGAAGCCAGCCATACATCCAGCCCCCGGTCGGCACCCAGAGGCTTAAAAAGGACAGAAGGGGTTTAGGGTTTAGGGTTTAGGGTTTAGGGTTTAGGGTCCTTAATTCACGTGTGCTTCCTCATGGTGATATGGGTGCATAGAACAGTTTGCGCGATGTTTTGCGTGATGTGACTTCTAAGAAGTTGCATGTTTGCCGGCAGGCTCCGAAGTCCGTTGCTCAAAAAGGGTTTAGGGTTTAGGGTTTAGGGTTTAGGGTTTAGGGAGGAAGCATCTCTTGGAGATGAATCTGGCTCTCAAGCCCAGTTGCGAAAAAGGTTTAGGGGGAGTGGGGCTGAGCTCTGTACTTCTAGCAGTGAGGGTCGAAGGTATCGGTCAGCTCCCTGAATTCATCCCTCAGCCCTTCAGCCTGAAGCCCTCAACGACTTGAATGCTTTTGGTTGTCAAAATGATGATCCCTTTTGGGGTCTTTAGGTGCCGTATTATGATAGGGATCCAGAAAGGGACAACAACTTTGACAACCAACCTAAACCCTAAACCCTAAACCCTAAACCCTACACCCTAAACCCTAAACCCTAAACCCTAAACCCTAAACCCTAAACCCTAAACCCTAGTCATCCTGGTTCCGGAAGAGTACCGGTGCCGAAAGTTGTTCTGCATGGTTTTCTTGCATGCCGGGGTGCATCAGGGGTTAGGGCGTTGGGTTTAGGGTTTAGGGTTTAGGCGGTTGGGGTTTAGGGGTTTAGGGGTTTAGGATTGAGGGTTTGGGGTTTAAGGTTTCTATACGGCCGGGTAGGGCCCGGGGTTTTCGGAAAACCCCCAACCCTAAACCCTACACCCTGTGCAAATTTGAGGGGGGGGGGGGGGGGGGGGGACGCCCGTCGGACCGGATGCAGGAGTCACCACTGAAGGAGTTGGATGTCGTTAGTTTTAGGGTTCTTAAGGGAGGGGGGTGCAGGGGGGGTAGGTACCCAGGGAACCTTAGGGAAGCTCAGGGAGCCTTAGGGAGTACTGGGGAGCATTCGGGAACCTCGGGTTGCAAACCACCCTTGAACCCCCCTCCCTTAAGAACCCTATAAGTCAGTGGATGGGGTGTCCAAGTTTCTCTGAGAACCGGGAAAATGCCGGCAGAATGTGCAAGTGGCTCGGGGACGCAGACCGAAAACCGAAGAATCACATGGTTTAGGCTTTAGAGTTTAGGGTTTAGGGTTTAGGGTGTAGCGTTCAGGGCTTTGGGTTTACTCTCTTGCGGTTTACTCTCAAGGACGCCGAGGGCTGGTATCAGCTGGGACCAGACGCTTTCGCTTTGCTCCCGCCACCTGGCATGCAGTCGCAGATTTGCAGGTTGAGGGTGTTAGTGAAACCTCCTCCCCTACAATACACTATAATATAATATAAGTTAAACTATAGTACCCCCGAAAATAGTGAGCTTAGAGGTAGACTTCTACTTGCACATGAGCACCATCGTCATAACAGGTTTGCGTCGGCGGGGGTTTTCATCTACTTTGGGTTGGGGATGGGCGGGTGGTTCGTTCAGCTAGGGTGAAGGGGATGACCTTGCGCCCCCCCCCCCCCCCCCAAAAAACCCCAAACACATGCGAGAGAAATTGCTGGAGCGCCAGTTAGGCGCAGTAAACTCCAGAGCCATCCAGGACATGAGTTTATGGGGTTAGGCTTAAGGGTTCAGAGCCAGAAATGGGTCATGCGCCTGATGTATGCTTCCAACTCGCTCATCCAAGTGTCTGGGGGTCCCGAAACTCTAAACCCTAAACCCCAAACCCCGAAACCCAAAAACCCCTAAACCCCTAAAGCCCTAAACCCTAGAGCCCTAAACCCAAGAACCCCTAAGCCCCTAAAGCCCTAAACCCTCGAGCCCTAAACCCCAAACCCCCTAGAACCCCTAACGCCCTAATCCCAACTAGGTAGGCCCTTGGGACTTTTTCCCTTCTTGGGTTTAAGAGGATCATATTCAGGAATATTTTTCAGAGGGTTTTAAGGGCCATCCTAGCCAAGAAGATCAGGCAGACTGTGGCCCTGGACCATGAAGCGATGGCAGATCCCTGGCTGATCATGTAGAGACTCCCCCCCACCCCTCCCCAAGGTACCCCCAAACGGCTAGGGGTTTAGGGTTTAGGGGGGTTTAGGGCCACCCCTCCCCAAGGTACCCCAAAACGGGTGGTGTCCGAACTTAGGGGTTTAGGGTTTAGGGGGGTTTAGGGTCGGTAAAAAAGGGGGTTTAGGGTTTAGACAATTGGGGGGGGGGGGGGGGGGGGGGTGCCTTATTGGGGTCCTGATTTCTATGCTAAGGGGAAGGAAGGGACCCTGGTGCTTACTTTGTAGGCCCTGTGCGACCATAGAAGCCCTATAAACTCCAAACCCTCCCAAAAAAACCTTACAAGAAAACCCCAGCATGCAGGTGGCGGTTGATCTAAAGGTCCTTTTTGAGAACATATTTAGGCCTCTGCAGCAGGGTTTAGGGTTTAGGGCCACCACCAGGTGGGCCTTTCATGGCTTGCGCCTGGCGGAGTGAACGGCCTCCTCCTCGACTTTCCAGAGGGCCAGCTCAGGGTCCGATCTCCTCCATAGCTGTGCCGAGCAATCAGCTAAAAGGGAGTGGTCCGGCTTAGTTCACGAATTAACTTGGGGTCCTATATTATACCCAAACATGTACTAATCCAAAAAACAAACAAACATATATATATATATATATAGATTTATATATGTATATGTATACGCATATGTATATGTATGCATGTATGTATGTATGTACGTATGTATACGTGCATATATGTATGGATACATATAGTAGAGCACCCATAAAAGAAGGACCCCTACAGGACCCTAATCTAGGGAACGACCCCTAAACCCTAAACCTTGGGGGAGGGAGGGGGGTTGGGGGTTGAAAGGTTGGTGGACGAAGTCACCCCTAGAACGGCGGATGCCCAGGCCCCTCCGAACTCGCGTTTGAATGTAGGCCTGAGGCAGCCCCCCTCAGCTGCTTTCTGCTTGAAGGCCTATGGGTCGTTATAGGTAGCATTGAAGGTCCTGAACCCGTACCTTTCTTAATTTCGGTTCTGACATCTGACATAGGCTTGCTTGTTGTGACTACCAATGAACCTTCAAGTGTGATCTGTACAGACCCTCGAGCCGTGTGCCTCAGCTTCTGCACTGACATCCTACAGAGGTGCAAGGGAGGCGTGGCATTGGGAAAAGACCGGAACTGTTTTTCACCATGTTTGATGCTCAGCTTATTGGTTTCTCTTTTTGCTTCGGAGCTGATCCAGGCATTTCGTGATTCACGGGGTGTAGGTACCTAGTTCGGGAGGCTTAGGGAGTAGCGGGGAGCATTAGGGACATACCCCCCCCTTTAAACCCCCTTCTTGAAGGGACCCTATAATTCAGTGCTCTTGCCAACGCTCTAAATCACAGGCTCAAGGTTGGGGTTTAGGGTTGTGGGTCTTGGCGTTTAGGGTTGAGTTCAGGGTTTTAGGGCAGATGTACAAAGGCCGCCCTGAGCCCATGCTTCAAGATTTTGGGGTTCAGGGTTTTGTGATGGCAATGCTACAAGCATTCTGTCGGATTGGCTCCCGCAGTCCAGATGCAAACAAAGGGTTTGGTGTTGGGGTTCAGGGTTTAGGTTGGCTTAAGCCCTTCAGTCCGGAGCTCTGTCGGCAGAGACACATTCTGAGATATCCTCAGCCCAAACCATGTGCTCTAAAGACTAAAAGCCTACACCGGGAAGCCTGCTGTTGCAGAGAGTGCTTGCAGAAACTAAACCCCAAACCCTAAACCCTAAACCCCAAAACCCCCTGTGGCGCATTTGGGTCGCGGACTCGTGTTGCGCAGCCTTCGGATGTCTCTACTGTTTGCTTAAGAACCCCCCCCCCAAAAAAAAAAATATATATATATATATAAATGTTAATATTAATATTAATATTAATATTAATATTAATATTAATATTATGATTTTCCAGTTTTTGTTTTGTTTTTTATTTTTTCAGCCCGTACGACGACGCTCGTCCAGTTCTTCCAAAGAATCTGTTGGGGGTCCAGCTTCTGGAAACCCTAAGAGCAATTGACTTGCCCTGGACCGTACATTCCTAGGTAGGCCCTTGGGACATTTTGTATTTTCCCTTCTTGGGTTTAAGAGGATCATATTCAGGAATATTTTTTTCAGAGGGTTTTAAGGGCCATCCTAGATTCTGGTTTTTTTCAAGAAATGCCTTAAACCTTCAACACGCAGTGCCCCTAACCCTACATGCTGGCTCTAAGGAACGAAGCGTGTTCAAATCTCCGAACCCTAAACCTTGCCGGCCTTGTGGGAGTGTGAGAGTCGAAACCCTAAACCCTAAACCCTAAACCCTAAACCCTAAACCCTAAACCCTAAACCCTAAACCCTAAACCCTAAACCCTGAACCCTTCCATGCGGGCCGAGGCCGCATCGTCGAGATGTCGCCGGCCATGGAGGCATTTGTCGGCCTTACCCTCGGCGCGCTGGGTAAGCACCAGACAGAGGTATAAAAAGATAACAATAATATCTATGTATATAAATATACATGTACATATATCTATATATGTACAATTGCTATCAGCAGCAACAAGACTGTTAATATTAGTTTTCATAGTTATAATCAAGAATGGTGAGATAAAAATAAGTTCTTGCATCTTCATCTTCTATTGATATCAATACATATTGAGATAAAGAGATATCAAGAATTAAAATTTCAATACAACAACATGCAAGTGCTAGAATACGGAAGCCATAAGACATCTGGGGTAAGATGAGTTGGCGAGTTGTTCAGGAGACATGCCCCGACAGATCTTTCTCTTGTGAACAGACTTCGTGTGTGAGAGGCTTCCTCTGCCGGATTAAACCCTAAACATACCGCGTGCGAGTTGCAATGTTCGTTGGGTATGTGCCAGGAGGGTGGGAGGGTGGATGCAATGCTTCCTTTCAAGGGCACGTAAAGTCCATATCCCCCTTGGGATTTATTTTTTTGTTCATATAAAACTCAAGAGGGTAACATATTGTTTTTTTTAAGGTTCTAAGGGGAGTATAGAAGTTGCACCCCTGAAGCATGCACCAACAACAACCAACAGAGCACCCAGTGCACGAAACCCGTGCACGAAACCCGAAGCAATTTCAACCTGATCCTTTACCTGAAGCTCCCCAAAACCCTCTAAACCCCCTAAACCCCAAGCCCAAAATCCGGAGGTCCACAGCCGAAGCCTGAATCGGGAACCTCGGAGCATCTGAGGACCTTTGAAGGAGAACTCCGCAATCACAGAGCAGCCGCCTGAGATCACTATCAGCCGCCTGAGATGACCAAGTCCTTCAGAACCTGTAAATCAGGTTAGAGCCAGTTTTTCGTATAGTTGCCCTACTTGTAACTCCACTTTTCCGTGCGCATGAACCTCCACGAAGAATTTTTGGGGTGATGCCGAGCGAGCCGTTCAGGAGGCTCATTCAGACTACCAAAACTCGATCTTGTTCAGAACCCGAGGGCTCCTTGCGAACTACTACTAGTTGCTTAAGATACGCCCAAAAAATAAGAAAGAATTCCTTATAAGGGTCATATAGGGATTATTATGTTTTTATTCCTTTTGCGGTTCTTAAGCAAGTAGTAGACGAAGTATCTTACCAAAGGGGGAGCCCAAATCCTTCCTCGGTTGCCGGGGATACTTTTCCCTCCGCGGAGTTCTACTCAGCGACTCACGGCTTCGCTATCGCGCAAAAAATCCGGACTAATCACCCTAAACCCTAACCCCCAACAAACATTAAGACTAAAGACATGGGCAAGGAAGAACAAGCAAGGACAGAAGACCGAACCAAAGTGCCAGGAGTCCCAGAAAGGGTCGACATGGCATCACGTGTGAGGATCCGTAGCTGAGCCCTGTTCGATGTAGGGTTCACCCTTTTTCTCTAAGGTTCCTAGGGACTGGGTAGGGCGCGCTTTCACCTTTTTTGGTTTTATAGAATGCTACTAAAAATGAACGGTTACCCATAGGCCCATGGGGCCCTGAGAGTCGGTCCCTTAGCTTTGTTTATTGGGATTCGAAGTCTGGGCCCTCATTATGTATGGTGGATATAAGGGTTATGTAGCCCCAAACCCTAAGCAGGGGACCCAGAATTAAGGGCCCCTGCTTAAGTCTAAAGTCCCCTTGGGCTCTTGAAAGCCTTGGCAGCCCACTCTCAGAGCTTCTTGAGCAGCGTGGCACGAGTCCAGTGCTGCTTCGTGGGTACTCTTCGTCTTCCACGCCTGGGGGCTCTCCTTCTGGCAGTCGCCAAGTCCATCTCGAAAAAGCGTTCACTCATGCCTCCTCACTAAGGCTGGTGCGGCTTCCCAAAGACAAGGACGCTGGGCTGGATGGATCGAAACCCCAAAAGCACTGAACTAAACCCGGTGAGATTCCCCTAAACCCTAAACCCTAAACCCTAAACCCTAAACCCTAAACCCTAAACCCTAAACCCTAAACCCAAGATTCACAGTGCAGGTCTGGGGTTGTCAGGGCTCATGGGAATGATCTGACCGAACCCGCGAAAACCCAATTGAACTCAGATCAACCTGAGTAAAGCAAGAGATATTTAACATACCCCTTGGGCATGTACCCCTCAAAAGAAATTCAGGGGTATGGTAAAATCCTTCCTTGTATTCTCCTTGTATAAGTTAAGGGGTATGGGTTTGGGGTATGTTGGATTGTTCTTAGAAATCAAGGATAAATCCCAAGCCCCTTGCTGAAAGCTAAGCCCGCGCGAACCCTCGCATGACAGTCATCAGATCCATATCTTAGGTTGGTGGAACCAACAGTGCGTGAGAGGATCTGAATGACATGCACAGGTATCAACGCGCAGATGCGTACACTGCGAGCTGTTACAGCCACACGTATGTATGACCCTAAACCCTAAACCCTATATGACAGAGTGGAGGAGACTCTCGACCAACTTGTCTCGGGTTGTTCCATGGCAGCTGCCGGCGAAGCAGCTGCAACTTCCAGCCATCTGACCGCAAGTGGGGCGGGGTTTCAAGGGTTTAGGGTTTAAGGTTTAGGGTTTAGGGTTTAGGGGTTAGGGGTTTAAGGGGTTAGGGTTTCAGGGTTTCAGGGTTTCAGGGGTTTGGGGGACTGAGGGTACCCTCAATCCTAAACCCTTCGAAAGTTGAAGGGTTTTCGAATGACTTGATGGCGCCGGGCCTAAGGGGGCCCTAAACCTCAAGCCTACAATTTGCTTCAGAACCCCGAAAAAAATAGTCTTCCTTAATTATTATTTAAGGGTAGTAAAGGGATTATTAGTATTTTATACCCTTTCAGGTGGGCTACGTCAAGGATCGGGGGTAGTCGTCCAGCAGGGGTACTCAGTAGCCCACAATACGGCGTTGCCACCGGCAACAGCTCGAGCTGCCCTACTTAGATGCTAAGCTGGGTTTAGGGTTTAGGGCTAAGGGTTGAGGGTTCAGGAGTTAGACCCCATAAAACCCTAAGTCCTTATACCCCCAGCCACAACGCTCGAAACCCAAACCCACGAAGCTCGAAGTACAAGCGCCTGGCATCCCACAGGCCTTTTTTATGCCTCCGGTTGAGGGTTTAGGGTTTAGGGTTTAGGGTTCAGGGTTTAGGGTTTAGGGCTTAGGGTTTAGGATTTGCATCCCGTCATCCCTCCCGCCTTCCCCCCCCCCCCCCCCCCCCTCTCTTTCTTGACCCCAAAGAACCGAAAGCAGCAACAGCAACGGAATGAGCAATAGCAATAGCAAGAACAACAATAGTAGTAGCACCAGAAGGACAGCAACAACCACAGCAGCAACAAACGCGAGGGCCTGGTAGGCCTTTCTTCATAACCCCGAGCCCGTGGCCATTCACCCTTTTCGGGCTTGATTGCTGCCGATTTGAGTTCATTCTTTCGAGCTGCAGCGCCAAATACCGAGCCCCCTAAACCCTAAACCCGAAACCCTAAACCCTAAACCCTAAAAACCCTAAACCCTGGCGTTCTAGCAACAGCTGAGAGTGGGGTGTAAAGCCTCCGAACAACGCAAACCCCAAACCCCCCTAAAGTCCTAAACCCGCATCGCGCTCAGGTTACAAGCATCTCCAATGGGGTGGGCAACCAAGCTGTGCATGCGAGGGAGGTTGGCCAAAACCTAAGCCCTATAAACCCTCACTTACCTATACTTCCAAACCTAAACCCGAAACCTTGCCCTAAACCCTAAACCCTAAACCCCAAACCCTAAACCCTAAACCCAAGACAGCACTAAACACCCTGCGCCCTACAACCCAGAGGTTGGACCACCTCAGAAATAAAAAACTCCTCAGCCTAGCTTCAACCCACTTCCTGCCCCGGCCTTTACTTGAAGATTCTTGGGCTTGGGTTTAAATGCAAGGGCGGCAGATATCCAAAAAGTTGCAACCAGAGCTAACTACAGCTACGCTACTTATTTATATCCCCAGCTACAGAGTAGGCATGGTTTTGAGGATTTCTGATCCGGGTGAGGAAGCCCTCGGTTTCAAAAAGGCTTCGGCGTCCAGGGTGTTGTTGCCGTTACGGATAGGAATTGTTTCAGGGCTTTGTTACCCCTAAACCCTAAACAAAGGTTCAGGGCAAGCTAGTACGGCTATAGCTGCCTCAGTTGGGGCTATTTTGCGCAGAGCCTTGATTCATACCCTACTCACATTGTCCCTGACCCTTTGTCTTTTGTTTAACTAGGACCCAAGAACTAGTGAGTAGATTCCCTGAGTTAGGGTGCCTGTTAGGGGTTCAATTTTTTTTGCGGACCTTCGACTTAGGGTACCCCAAACCCTAAACCCTAAACCCTAAACCCTAAACCCTAAACCCTAAACCCTAAACCCCAAACCCCAAGCCCAAAACAGGACTGCCGCCAAGATGTACACTTGAACCCTCAAGCCAGTCGATGTCAGTCGGCCATCCGGGACGGCACGCGCATTTCAATCACGTACTCTGCACTTCATCCACCACACTCAGAGGGACCGCAAAGAAGTGCTGCAGAGAGACGACTCCCAGTCACAGTGGACTGTTGGTTCTTTCCGGCTAGCTCTACTTCTTTGCGGAACATAGGTGCCATGGTCCCGGTTGGAACAGTTGATGCCCTTCTCTCCGCGCCAGACTCGACGATAGAGGCCCGGAGGCTCTTTCCGCTTGTTATGCGTTTTTGAGTAGACTCCAGCCCCAAACCCCAAGACCCAAGCCCTAATTAAACCCTAAACCCTAAACCCCTAAACCCTAATTAAATCTTCCAGGTGCCCCCCACTCCACACCCTCTGCTGCCACACCCCACCTCTGCAAAATCGAGGGGGCAGGAAGGGGAGGTCCATTTTTGAGGCTGGTGTATATCACTCACTTGCAACCCCCCACCCCGCCTCCGCCCCATCAGGGTTTAGGGGTGTTATAGGTTATAGGACTCTCCTGATCCAACCAAGCCAATCCTTGAATGCACCACAGTCCAACGGACCCTACAGCTGAATCTAATGTGAGCTTCCAAGTCCGTTCATCCTCCCATTCTGAAGCCGAAAGACGGGTGATGGAGGTTGCTTCGGGGCCGGCGAAAGCAAGATTTGTCAACACTCTGCCGCAGACAACGCGGAGCAGTAGCCGAAGCGATATTGAAATCTGGTGTTTGGGTGACCCCTGAGCTGTGCCATTACGTACCGGCTCAAACAGTGGCTGCAGATGGACGGGTGCGTGGGACAGAAGGAACTTCAGTCCACTCCGCTGGTGGTTCTCAGGGTTCTGAAGTTCAGCACTTCTGGGGCCCTGAGACGCAGGTTTAGGGTATAGGCTAGGATGCCCAGTAGTACCCTTATTCCCTTTTTGGGGGGTTTAGGTTCCCTTATAAACCCCTTTAAGCAAAAAAGGGCACCCTTTTTAAGCCTAGGTTACTGGGCAGCCTAGTAGGTCAGAAGCCACAAGTCCCGCTGAAGAGCAGCCATGGCCAATCCGGCGAAACGCCCGCGGGCGACGTCACCTGTGAATGGCCCGAAGGCTTGGGAAGACATCGAGCTGGTTTTCGGTGGTGGCAGTTCAAGGCACGCATCTTCTGCGCTCCTACGCATGTGCTCCCCCGTGTTTGACCGCATGCTCGGCTCTGGCATGCAAGAGTCGCAAGAGAGGGTCATCAAGGTTGAAGTTGCAACCAGAGATGAGTTTAATGTCTTGTACGACTTGCTGACGCCTGGGGCTTTGAGCAAAAGCATCAACAAGAAGCATGTGGATGCCTTGCTCCGCCTCAGCGACTACTACGAAATCGATTTCGTCAAGGAAGCCTGCGAAGAAGTGCTTCTGCAGATGCCGGTTACAGCCCAGCGACTGCTGCAGGCCAGCAAGCACGGGCTGCGCAGACAGCAGGAACGCAGTGTGAAGCAGCTTGGGCAATCGGTTGATGCGACCGGGCTGCTGCTTCTGCATGACGAGTCGCCGGAACTGCTGCTAGCTGTGGCTTGTGCCATGAAGGGGTACGCTGTCTGCAACCGCGAGGAGGCCACGGCCAGTGCCGTTCGAAGCTCGCCCTCTTCAGTTCTTTCTCTGCATGACACGGGTGACAGGTGGTGAATCTGAAGGTGGCAGCAGATGCCCCGGGTGCTCTTTCACTGAAGGCCATGTGTGTGTGTGGATCGATGTTGCAGCGCGCAGGGTCCTTTCCTAGGCACTTCGATCCTCCGACATGGGTCACCCTGTGGAGGCATTGAGCAGTCAGTTGCGTCCGTCCATTTCCCTATCACCGCTTGCTGCAGGTAGTCGCGCTCAGGACCTGGACCATCCGTCTCCTCAAGGTGTGAGTTAAACCTACTAAACCCTAAACCCCAAATTGAACTTTGAGTTCTCGACTGTCCGGTGTGAAGGAGAGGCTCGTTGAGGAGATGGGTCTGAGTTATGGAGATGCTCCCCGGCTTAAGTCCATCAGCTGCTTGCAGGGGACTGGCATCACGACAGTGCACCCCAACTGTGCTTTTTGCCAGGTGCGAATGTGGGACTTCTTCGACAACAAGATCTTTGCAACCTTGGAGGACGAGCTGGACACGAGCTCAGTTGAACCGTCATGGGACTCGGAGATTCCACTCAAATGGTTATTTTAAGTTATTTTTGTTGTTGGGGCTTGATGTTACTACGGTGTGTTATTTCCGACATTCCCGGTAACAAAGTGCGTGTGGGAATGGCTAGAGCGTCCATGCCTGCACGATGACAACGTCCATGTTACTAATGCGTGCGAATGACCAGAGCACGATGGCCCGATGGCAACGTGCATGTGGCCAATGCGTGCGCGTGGCCCCTAAACCCTAAACCCTAAACCCTGAACCCTAAACCCCAAACATCGAACAGAAAGCTTTACGATGACAGGTATCCAAACAGAACTTGGAGCATCCCTAATCCTTTATAAACCCTCTTCTCTAAACTCTAAAGCCTCATTGCATGGCGCTGCTAGACCCTCTGGATGCAACGGCAGAGAGAGAGAGAGAGATAGGAAGAAACTCTACAGCCTCGAGTCCTGGACACTTCACACTTATACCCTAAACCCTAAACCCCAAACCTAAACCCGGCGATTTCAAAGTTTTTGGCCTGGGCGAGTCAGGACTTGAGCCTGTGGGATTGCAGACTTTGGCCCTGTAAGCTTCTGGCCTTGATGATGGTTTGGGGTTTGGGGTTAGGGTTTTGGGTTTACGGTTTAGGGTTTAGGGTTTAGGGTTTACGTACACATCCAGGCGGATACACAGAAGCCTGCTGCAAAAGGTTTTAAGTATTTGCGATATGCAAGTCTCGGCTTTCTCGAGGTCGTGGACAATGCTTCCATGGCTTGTTTACACTTTGTTGAGGATGTTACAAGTTTTGCTCCGAAGTTTACTCCGGGTGCTCCTGAAAATGAGCTTAAAACCTAGGCGAAAGAAAGCGCAGTGAGGCCCTCAAGTTTATTTCAGGCCTTCGTGTTTCGGGCAGCTTCTGCCTGCGTCGTTTTCTCCCAAAAGCGCTCTCGGTTTGGTTTGGCGTGCATCGACCTGAAAATCTGCAGTTTGCGAAGCCTCAAAACGCACGGACGTGTACACGCGCCGTCGCCTTGTTCTTCCCCTTGCAGGTGCTGTTGTTGACATTGGTGCTGTTGCTTTTGCTGTTGTTTTTGTTCACAAAGCAGCACAGACTGAGGACGCCCAGCTTCATGACAAGAGAATAATGGATGGCCAGCCGATTCTTCTTGAAGAGCGTGATAACCATGGTAATTTCACATTTGTCAGCGCCCTGAGGCAGAATAGCTCAAGCACTTGAGGTGCCCGGTAGCATATTCAGCCAATGGTTGAACATACTTGTTCCGTTCCGGCTTGAGTATCGCAGTGCAGCAAGCAAGTACGCTGGACGAAGCATCTTCAGTCCAAGGAGTAAAACGCGCAACGCTCGGGTTTTCGCTGGGCTGTCCCTGCATGCTGGAATGTTCAGACTGCTTTAGATTGTTTGTGTGGCTTTGTGCTCTTGCTCGCAGCGTTGTGTGGCGAGTTTTGTTCCCCAAACCCTAAACCCCACTGCAACTTACACATAGCCCCCCCGAAGAGGTTCCGAAGCCGAACTGGCAGTAGATTGCTTTGGAATGTAGAATCAGTAGAATCTCCCTGGAATCCCCTATGGCCCCGGGGTTGTAGGATTTCGGGTTTAGGGTTTATGGCTAGCACTATCGGCTCACCATGCGCTCGAACCTGTTTTCAGATGCTTAGGCCAGGAAAGAGACTCCGGCAGACGAAGCCTAAATGCAAGGGTTGGCATTTTGGGTTCGGGCTTCGGGACCCTGAGCCGGGTTGAGTTCAGCCAAGCCGAAGCCACACAATCCGGAGCCGGGCCTATCCTGTGAAGAAGAGGGTTTTTATGGGGTTCAGGGCTTAGGGTTTAGGGCTACCTTTTTGTTCGGGTCTAGGTTCTCTTGTCGGCCCCTTTAAACAAAAGAGGGTACTCTGTTTATTCCTAGGTTACTCTTGGGTCTGGTGTCTCCAAGCAACTTGGAAATTCAAAACAGATCGCTGGAGAACTTTCGCTATCCTTTAATCAAAGTGGCCCCCTGACAACGACAAGGACTCGCAACGCCTTGAGCCGCAACTTCTCCCACATCATCCAGTCTGCACAGAGTTTCGACGCCCCGTTATTTCGGACATATCTCGTTATATAGCTGTATATGTAGATCTGTTGGTAAGATATAGTAGAGCTCTCTAATACCAGTAAGCATTGGTGTATATAAATAAGGGTTTAGGTTTGTTTGACAGATTGGGGACAGCCCTTGTCGCCTGTGTCAGGAGGGCGCTGCTGCTCCACCGCCACAGGCTGCTGTGTCCAAGTGGTGCAGATTCACAGAGGGGACTGTAGCCTTGCTTAGGGTTTAGGGTTCAGGGTTCAGGGTTGAAAAAAGAGAGAGAGAGAGAGATAGTGAGTGGTATCTGACTCAAAATTCAAGCAAACATCCTCCCCACCCCTCACGGCCTAAAGAGGCTGTAGACTCTAGAGTGCAGAGCGCACCGGTAAAACCTTATTTCTGTAAACTGTCAGCCAGGAGCCTAGCAATCCCTCATGCTTCCTTCTCTGGATTCAGAGTTTCAGTCCATGCTTCAGAAAAAGGGTCGAGGTATAGGTTAGATGTAGGTCCTTTCTGAGTTCAGGGGCAACTATGACCCCTAACCTACAGGGCCTTAGCTATTTTTTTGTGATATCCCTAAACCCTGGAGCGGTTCGTCCAGCTATGCGGGTGCCAGAAAAACCCTAAACCCCATATCCTATTCATCGCCTTTAGGCGCCCCGGGGTGAACGAGCCTTGTTGCCCCCGAACCCTCAACCCTAAACCCAGAGGCAAAAGCAAAAGCCTGTTTCCCCCCGAAAGGTCATCCAGGGCCGCATTGTACATGTCGCGGCGCCCGTGTCAACCCCGATGCCGCTCGACCAAGCAGGAGTGGAGTGGGGTTTAGGGTCTAGGGCTCGAGGTGTTCAGGGTTTAGGTTTCCGGTTTTCAGGATGTAGGTGTTTAGGGTTCAGGCTGAAGGTTTACAGTCCCTGGTTGCATTGACCTTGGGACAGGTTCACGAAGTTTTCATTCCGATGCGGCTAGGGGTGTTATCTAGGGCTGAGGTATTTTTGCCTTTTCGGCTCAAGGGTCTAGCAAGGGCCCGTCTGGGGCTGGATGTTTTGGATGTTGGCTTAGGTTATAGGGTTTAGGGTTTTGGGGTTCAGGTTCTGGGGTCTAAAGTCCTTTGCTCAAAAGGTTTTTTAGGGTTTAGGGTTTAGGGTTTGGGGTTTGGGGTTTGGGGTTTAGGTTCTTGGGTCAGGATGTCGCAAGCATGTCACGCAGGCGTCTGTGATGTGCCCCTGGTCTTTATTTTTGTGCCGCTGGAGTCCATTGTCGATCTTCTTCATAACACCCCTAAACCCTAAACCCTAAACAGGTGTTCGGGAGCTCAGGCAGCCATAGCTCAGTGGCCTGCGGTATGGAGAATGGCTTATTCTGGACTATGTGTGTATATACACACACATATATATATATAGACACCCACACTATTAATTGTGTTTGTTTAAGTATGTTTGACAACATGTGTACTAGAGTGTAAATACATATATATATATATATATAGATATCTTCTAAAAGTATGTATAGCATGTCTGGAGCTAAGCCCCCAACCCCACGAGCTGAATACTACCTGCCGTCAGTTGTGCTGTTCGCCGTTGCCTCGCAATCTTACATTCGTTTACTGGGTTGTGTTTTGGGATCATTTTTCTCTACCCTTCTTTCCTTATAAGGGAACCAATTCCTAAAGACTTTTCAGAGGGCTTAAAGCACAACCCAGTTTCGGGTTTAGGGCCCCCAAGTGGCACGCCCCTGAATCCTCAAGTGAGGCCAAGCTCTGAACCCGGAGACTGACAGTAGACCTTTGCTTTGCTTGCCCCGCACTGTTGCAAGTGCGATTGTCGAGGCCCCAGCCCCCCCCCCCACTCCTAAAACCTAAACCCTAAACCCTAAACCAAAGGTTCACCTGACGTTTCAAGGTATGTGCTGCTTTGCTGCATCGCCACTGTGTGGGCCGCGATTGCGCTCGTGCATCTGGGCTGGACAGTCAGTGTGTCTGTAGCGCGCTGGTGTTTTGGACTTCAAGTAGGTCTGTCCTGTCATGCTACCTATGACAGTGCGCAGGGCTCCAAGATCGAACCGCACGAGAAGATGCTCCGCGTCTCTAAACCCTATACCCTAAATCCTAAACCCTAAACCCCATACCCTAAAGCCTAAACCCTAAACCCTATATATACCCTTGACCCTAAACCCCAATGATCCGAGTTGCCCCCCCCCCCCCCCCCCTTGCTCCTCAGCCCTCCAAAGAACGTGCAAGGTCTGGCTGCTTTGTGTTCCCCGGAGCCCCCATGCTGGCTCCTTGCTCGCATAGGGGTTTAGGGTTTAGGGTTTAGGGTTTAGGGTTTAGGGTTTAGGGTTTAGCATTTAGGGTTATAGGGTTTAGGGTATAGGGTCCAAGTTCTCTTCGCGCATACTGCTTTTGAGATCTTTGAGCATACCCTCTATGATGTCACTGTCAAGCTATACAAAGCATTCCAGAGAGTAGTGTCCTATCAAGTTGTGCCTGAAGCTTGGTGCCGCGAAATGGCGACTCTCGCCCTGCAGTCATAGGCACTGTGGTGTGGGGGCGGGCTGGGCAGAAAGGGCAGCAGTCGAGTCCCTTGTGAAAAATGGGTGTAGGGTTTAGGGTTTCGGGTTTAGGATTATAGGTTAGGCGGCCATCACTGCTTCATGTCTTGCAGAGCGTTACGAAATTCTGCATGCTTCAGCTTTCCTCTGGGGTGCGGAGAGGGCTTCAGGTCGTCGAGGGCTTCCGAAAAATACCCGGGAGATTCAGGGATGTTGAGGGCATGTGCTTGCTGGTGGAAGGAAGGTTAGATGGATCCAATGCAGCCACCTTTGTCTCTGCCTTCGGTCCTTCAACACATGACATGAAGCTGATTGTATTCCACCAGCAGCAGCCTAAAAACCCACAAGTAGGCTTTCGTTCGCGCGCGCTTGCGCTTGCTTTCCCGCGCTGGCGCTGCGGGAAAACTTAGGTGATGGCCTTCGACGCACCTGGTTCAGCCCCTTGTCTCAACCGAAAACTACTATTTGTTTAATAAGACCACCCAAAAAATGTAAATAAAATATTCGTCCTTACAAGGGCAATATAGGGATCATCATTATTCTTCTTCTCAGTCTTCTTCTTCTTATTATTTTTTATTTATATATGTATATATATATATATATATATATATTTTTTTTTTCCCCAACAGCGAAGCGATGGGGTCTCCAGCCCTTGACTACTGGAGCGGGTTCCGGAGCAGGTTCCGGAGGGTTCCGGAGCAGGTTCCGGAGGGTTCCGGAGCGGGTTGCGGAGCAGGTTCTGGAGCCGGTGTCACACGTGTTGTATACCACCAGGCTAAGCCACTGTATGGGGGGAAAAGCCGCTAGTGTTCGAGCTGGAAGGGCACGCGGCGTTAATGATTAGTCGAAGGTAGTATCCGATGGGACTGAACTTGCATGGTATTTGCCACTTAGTGGTGTTATGGCTTGCAATCCTCTGCCTGCGCAGAAGTGGAGGTTCATTACTTACAATTGCCTTTCACTTAAACAAGCTGGCCGACAACATGATATTTGCAACGCATTCAAGTCCGCCACCGCGTTCGGGATACAGGGCACTCGTCTCCCATGTTCTGGCGATGCGGTTACCTTTTCTGTTCAGGATGGTTTCACACTTTTTAATTGGGGCTTTGGAAAAGGGCATGCAACAAACAAGTGTGCTGGTGTCCAAATTGGGATTCGTACACGGGACTTCCGCAAGAAGCATGTGGTACGTATTTGGTCTGCTCCGACACAGCTTCAGGGTCGAGGTGGGGCAGTGCGTGTGCGGAATGGATCAGTTGATTTCTGTTTCATATGTATGTATGTTAGACCCGATCCGGACAATGCACAAGCACGCCAAGGGGTGCATCAAATTTATGAGTGGGCCGGTCGTGTTATGGCGGAGTTACCGAGACGGTGTGTGCCTGTTATCCTTACAGATGCCAATGGGAGGACTGGCATGGTACGCTATGGAGGAAATGCGGGTGAAGTGTGTAATGTGGAGTCTTCTGCAGTTGGGGGTGAAACACCAGAAATGGAGAATTTTAACGGAGCTTGTATTCGACAGTTTTGCGAGGACCAGTATTTGTGCCTGGCCAATACATTCTGGAAATGTGGACACACTTATTGGGGTATGTCCCCTACAGCA